TTTCATTACTATTTGAATCATCTAATTGAGTTTTAAGTAATAATAATTCTGCACGAATTTGAGCTTCAGTTTGTTCCCGTTCCGGAATTGTAGCAAATAGAAGTAGCTTTATTGCCCGTGGATCTAGAATAGAGGCTTTTAACCCCATTTTATTAGATGTATTCCACAATTCATCAATAGACAAAAAAATGTCAGCACGTGCTTTTTCTAAAAGCCCAAAACAATCTACAGGTAACAAATATTCTATAGTGTTAGAATCTTCTAATTCCGTAAGAGTAATTTTTTTTTTTTTTTTTTACGACTAACATAACCTTTACGGTAATATGCACTTCGATGTGCATATTGCCACTACTATCAATTTCCTGCTAATGATATATCAACTTCGTTATCACTATTAAGACTTGAATCATTACTAGTATCTGTGTCTTCAGAGCCATAAATTAGATTAACCTAAGCTTCAAATGATTCACCATGATCATTTTTTGGTACAAACTTGTTTTTTAGAATTCGAATATAGGGATATACAAGATTTAATGTTGAATACTTTGATCCACAAACGTATCTTGTAATTTCTTCAAATGGCTTTAAAAGATAAACCATTTGTTCTGTAAACCTTGATTAAAAAGAAGAAAAAATTATTAGTTGCATGTCACTGATTATAGTATTCCAGATACTATTTAAATTTATTTAATAAAAATCTTAAATAATACACATATCTAACTAAAATAATGCCCGGGTCTTACTGTATTATCTCAAAATAGCATCTCAGGATGTAGTTTTAAAATTTTGCTTAATTCAGATCAAAATTCTAAATGGCGAAATAATATGTAATACCTGGGTCTTTTTCATGGAGGTATTATGATATGGATACTATCTGTGGTGTAACCAAAAAAATTGTTTTTATATTAACCGCTTAAGGGGATTGTCTAAAGCCAGGTAGTAATTTATATACAGCACGTGACTTTTACTTTACAAATTTATTATAAAAACTACCCGGCTTTAGACAATTCCCAATTTGGGCAAATGTAATTATGTACGTAATACATTTTATTACACAAAAATATATTTAAATAAAAAAAAAAAAATATATATACTCTTGTTCTTCCGTGGTTAAACATAATTTCATAAGTTTTTTACCTTCATGTTTTGAAGCAGCATCTAGCTTATTTTATAAAGAGATTACAAGTGTAAGTATTGCTAGGTGCAATAGTAAAATCCTTTGCAATGCATAGTAAGTCGAATTCCAACAGGTCTTACAATCGGTTAGAACTTCAAGTGGATTTACTATTTCATCTTCATCTTTGACGTCACTTTGAATTATATCAGATGAGTCTATTTGTGTTTGTATTTGTATATTTCGCAATCATTATGCCTGCTTTGGAAGTTTAAAAAACGTTTGAATGCTCCGAAGTCATTTATGAATTGGTTTAATTTGCTTTAACCCTTCTTTTACTGAAAGTTGAAGAGTATGGGCAATGCATAACTGCCAATTAATATTAGAAAGATAATTCTCTTTTAACAAACTAACACTTTTTACCATATTCGCCCCATTATCTGTTACAATAGTATGTACTTTATTTACTAATCCCACTTATTTATAATACTAAATAATTCCTCACTAATATTTTGATCTGTATGCGGATACGGCATATGATAACTTGTAAGCAATGCTTTCTGAAGCTTAAAGTTAAAGGTTAGCTATGTTACAGTAATACCAAGATAACCATGATTACTTTTAGCAGTCCATAAGTTTGTCATTAAATTAACGGTATTAATATTTAACAACAATTCTTTAAGTTGGTTTGTTCCTCATGTGTAAGCCTCGGAAATATATTTTTTAACGGTTTTTGCACTCGGTATTTGATATTGAGGCTTAAAACCATATAGAAGTTTACGAAATGCCGAATTTTTTAATATATTTAATGACTGAACATCATACACGATGAACTCTACAACAAGTTTTGTTAATTCTCGTTATTGTGTAGATGACAGAAAAGGTAGGTCAAGATCTGTTAATTCAACAGATCTATTAATTATTGGCTATAAAAAATATATATTAATTTAAAAATTTTAATGATTTTATTTAATGAAAATCGATATTTACTTGTTCATTATCATCAAGATATCTTTTATAATTCTTTGAAGTTATATTATGCCTTTCACGTAAATGTTTTACTAAGTTTCCTGTGCTATTTTCTGATTTGCTATAGGGATATGGTTGTGCTTGAATTCTGTCTAATTTATCTAATTTCTGAGTACAAAGTCTACAATATGCAATTGTATTATCAGTTTCATCATCTTGATAAAAAAAGCATGTAAAACTGGCATTCGCCCTTGGGGTTGATAAGTGACTAGAAGCGACAGACAAAGTTGATTGTGCTGTTGTTGTAGTGATTTTTCTTTTTTTTTCTATTAGGTTTAAGCATTTTTTAAGTGAAATTGTTGATAAGCTCAAAATTGAAAATTCTGGTTATTTATAAAAAATTGTTATTTATTATTTGACTAAAAAGAAAAAAAATATATCTTTTTTAAAAGCCAATTATTTAAAATGTTGATATATTGAAATAATCGTATTCTATTAATAAATTTAACTATCGTACAGTACTGATTACAAGGTATCTTATAGTACGGGATACTATTCATCTTTATAGTACAAGATACTATTCATCAACAAACGCAATAATTTTTTGAGCCCTATAATTTATTATTGAATCTACTAAACCTACGTACATTCTACATGATCCCTTGATAAAAATATAAATCAGCTCATTCGATAATAATAAATGATTAATGATAGTGACGAGTGAGCGAGCTGACTTGTATTTTTATCCCTTGGATACCATTCAAGATAGCAAGGGTTTTTTGAATAAACTAGGGATATTATTCATTTGTAAATATAATATTGATCCCGTAAACCATACTATTCAATCTATTTGACCTATCACCCTCCCTAAATGGTATCCCTCAATACTATTCAAGCTAACTAGGGCTTTTAAATAAGGTCAGAATACTTAGAGGCAGTTTTGTACAATAGTTTTCTTTTAATGCACAGAATCTCAATGAACTAAAAACTGGTGGCATTTTAATCATTTATAAAAATCTTTCTTATTATAACTAGAAAAAACTTTATTTTTTAATTATTTAAGAAGAAAATCAATATCGGCTCAGTAAATTCACAACCAGTGTTTTTCTATTGCAAAGAGTTTATCAAACAACAATTGCTTTAATTAAATCGTATTTGAGGAAAAAAATAGTGTTGAGATGAATTCTATGAAACTTAAATATAAAATTTAACAAGTTGAGATATATTGTAACATGCTAAAAAAATTTATTAAAAAGAGAACATAGCTTGTTTTTATAGTCTAAAATTTTATTATATGATACGTACAATTTTCATACACACAAAAGTACATAAATGAGACTGTAAAAGTAATTCAATAAATAAACAGGTTGCTCTTAATCGCTTAACCAACCACAATTTTGAATCTAGAAGTACTTTCATCATAATTAAATGCAAATGGGTGATGCCAAGGGAAAACCAGACTTCGAACATGAATTTGTATGATCGCAGCCTAGTTTTCTCTTGGCATCACCTAAATAGAACAAGAGCAATATTTAGTTTGACCTGATTCTCTGTCTGCCCAGTGAAGTGTCTTGAAACTATAAACTTAGAAACATTAAAATTGCAAATACAACATTTGACTTGTATAAAAAATATTATTTTACAAAACTTACTATAATCAAAGACAGTAAACTTTGGTTTCTCTCATGTTTAGCGAAAATTAAATCTGGATCTAATAATTAAATCTGGATCTAACAATTAAATCTGGATCTAACAATTAAATCTGGATCTAACAATTAAATCTGGATCTAACAATTAAATCCAGATCTAACAATTAAATTCAGATATATATAATTAAATCTGGATCCAGATATTAACTCTATATTTAACAAATCACATATCAATTTCTTTAGTATATATAAATATTTTTTATAATAAAATTTGATAATATAAAATCTTAAATAAATCTAAGCAAAATCAAAATAATGTGATATAATTAAGATTTTCTAAAAAGTTAAAAGCAGATTCATTTATTTAAATATATTTTTTAAAATAATAATAAAAGTTTAATTTGTAGCAAGTTATTCTACAATATTTTAATATTTAATAATTTGAACTAAATTGATTTATTTAAAGATAATTAAAATTATTTTAAGTTATTAAAGAATTATAACAAGTAAGATAGTATTTTAAATACCAAAATAGCTAAATAAAGAAAATGTATTTATTATATTAAAATTATATAGAAAAAATAATTTTGATTTTATAAATAAAACAAATATATGAAATTTTTAGAATATTGTTAAATATCGCAAGTTGCTATATCGCAGGTTAATATGATCAACCAATTAGATCACAGGATCTTGTATAACAAAAATGAATAAAAAATTAGAAAAATTAAGAAAAAAGTTAAAGTTTTAAATATCTTGAAATTTTATTATATAAACTAGTCTTGGGCTTCTAATTAAAAGTTTTTAGCACTTAATTTTGCATATATTTATACCTTTTAATACTAGCTCGAACCTTAACCCTAACTAATAATAATTTTAAATTTTTTTTTTAAATATATATTAACCTATGATATCACAACCTGCTATATTTAACAAATTCCAAATTTTTATTATATATTATATAAATTAATTTTATAAATAAATCAAATTAATTCAATTTAATTTGATTTATTTCGAATTAATAATAAAAAATATATGAAATTTTTATTATATATTATATAAATTAATTTTCTAAATAAATCAATTTAATTTGATTTAATTTGATTTAAATCGAATTAATTTAAGATTATATTATTTATTTTATCCTCTTTATAATTATTCTATCTATCTTATTTAATATATTTATATCAAACTTATGCAATCTAAATTAATATATTATAAATTAATTTATTTTATTTTACAAAAGTAGTCAGTAAAGTTTATAGAATATTAGATTTTTTAATAATATGCAATTTTAGTTATATTTAATTGATTTTCTTATTTCAAGCTTATTTAATCTAATTCAAATTATGCTAAAATATTTCTTTTGTAATTTTGCATAAAATATTACAAATATTTTGCAATATATTACGTAATATTTCATAAAAATTTTACGTAATATTTTGTAATTGTATATTTTGATTTATTGTACAATAATTTGTGTAATATTATAGCTATTTTACGTTGCGTACTTACAGAATTTATCAATTTTGTAAAATATTTTTAATATATTATTACAATAAATATATATTATATTAGTTATATAATAAAAATATTATATTATTTTTTAATAATTTAAATATTATTATTATATTATTTAGATAATTTAAAATATTTATATTAAGTTTATTATAACTATATGTTCAATATATGTTAATAAAATATAATAATTATATATTAATAATATAATTAATATATAAAAATATTATAATTATATTATTATTATATATTAATAATATATTAATAATATATTAACTATATTCAATAATATAGACACTCTCATCTCTTTTTGACGATCCTCTGAACAACACAACAAAAAACTGAACTAC